AATATCCAACTATCTCATGCATATAAGGCAATTGAAAGTATCATGACTTGTCAGTCATACTGTAGTCCTCAGAGTAACATCCCTGTCTCTCAACACTTTAAAGATGTCTTGTGAAGCACATTTAAATAATGCAATATGTCTTGTACTCACTTCACTGCTGCTTCCAGGAGCATAAATCATGGATTCCAGCAAGATGAACTACTTGACAGCATCAATCTTTTCTCTGTTTATCATGACGATGCTACCTATTAGTCGAGTTATGAGGATTTGGGCCTTCGTTACATTGAGTTATAATCCACACTGCAGGCTGCAATCCTTGATCTTCATCAGCAAGTCCTCCCAGTCTTTCTCCCATCTGAGTATTACAGGTTGTTAATAAGCCTCCCTCTATCAAGAGGGTAGGCGGAAGTGGGGGGAGATAGGGGAGAAAGGGGGAACCGAGTGCAATGATCAATGTATAATACACACATACACACACACCGGGGGACGGACAACAGAAATGTGGGTGAAAGGAGACAGTGGATGGTATAAAATATGAAAATAAAAATAATTTATAAATGATCAAGGGTTACAAGGGGGGTTGGGTGAAGAGGAGATGATTTCAAGGGCTGGGTGAAGAGGAGATGATTTCAAGGGCTCAAGCAGAAAGAAAATGTGTTGAACATGATGAAGGCAACATATTTACAAATGTCCCTGATACAATTGATGTATGAATTGCTGTAAGAGACCCCAGTAAAATGATTTATTGAAATAAAAGATAATCATAATTTTAAAATAAGGTTTTCATAAATCTCAATCTTCCTAGACCTTTCATTTAATAATGAGCATAAAGTTCTTTAAATTCCAATATATATATATATATGATTTCCTCCTATCCTTATGCCACATTCTTTATCATATAATGCAGCTTCCCTGATGATTTACTCAGAATACAGATTGAATAATATGGGGAGATGAGAGAACCCTGACACACACTTTTCCTGGTTTTAATCCATGCACAACTGCCTCTTAATCCATTCCCAGGTTCTGCATGAGCACAATGAAGTGCTTTGAAATTCCCATTCTTCTCAAGGCTATCCATGGTTTATTATGGTCCACATAGCCACGTGCCTTTGCAGCGTCGATGAAAGACAAGTAAACATCTTTCTGGTATTGTCTGCTTTCCATCTGACATCAGCAATGATATCCCTTGTTCCTCTTCTGAATCCAGTCTGAACCTCTGGCTGCTCCCTGTCAATGTACTGCTGCAAATGTTGGATGATCTTTAGCAAAATTTTACTTGCATGTGATATCAATGACACTTGTTTTATCCACCTCTCAAGGGGGTGTTTCCATTTCTTGAGTTCCCTGAAGACTTGCTGGGGTCCTTAAAGGATTCAGAATCAGATTCCATTGCATTCCATTGGGTAACCTTTCTTCTTTAAAAAAAATTATTTTATTTTTTTGGGGGCTCTTACAGCTGTTATCACAATCCATACATGTATCCATTTTGTCAAACACATCTTTACGTATGCTATCATCATCTTTTTCAAAACGTTTTCTTTCTACTTGAGCCCCTGACATCAATTCCTCCTTTCCGCCCCCTCCCTCCCTCTCCAGCCCTCCCTCCCCCATGTGCCCTTGATAATTTAGAAATTATTCTTTTTAAAACCTTTCTCTTTAATGTTAATGATTTTTTTTCAATGCTAATGAATTTTATTTTGGACATGTTATCAGGTGAGACCAGTCCCTGGAAAAATACATCCTACTTGGTAAAGCAGCGGGACAGTGCAAAAGAGAAGGACAAGATAGATTCGCACGGGCTGTGCCAATGGGCTCAAGCACGACAACTCCAGTGAGACGGCTCAGGGCCGCTCTGTGTTGGGTTGTGCTGACCTCCCATGAGTCCAACAGTCTCGGCAGCACCTAACAAGAACGAGCATTCATTCTTTGCCTTCACTCAAAAGTTATAAAGATTTTTTGCTATATCTTTTTTCAGAAATGTTTTAGTTTAAACTTCCACATTTGGATGAATGATTCATTTAGAGCTTACTTTAAAATACTGTGACACCATGTGAGGTAAAAGCCAAGGCTCACTTTTGTTCATACTGATGTTCCGTGGAACAAGGACCATTTGTTGAAAAGGTTATCCTTTCTCCCCCTTCATTATCTTAGTGCCATCATTTCTATAAGGTTTATATTTCCTTCATTCTATGAATCGTAATACTTTGTTTACACTGGGGTGAGTCAAAGAATATTGCTTATAATCTAAGAAACATTTATTACATAAAAATATAAAATGGGAAGCCATTATATCTTGACCGATCCTCCAGAGAAGTCTATCCACCTCTCAAGAGGGTGTTCCCATTTCTCTACTTCCCTGAGGACTTTTGGGGGTCCTTGAAGGATTCAGATAGTATTCCTTTTAAAGGGGCTTGGAGCTTGGAGCACACGAAGACTGAAGAGTTAGGGCTATTGGTTGGTGGGCATGGTTTCCCAACAACGTTCTTATCAGACAGCAGCTGCTCCCCTCAGACAAAGAGCAGATGCGTTGTTACGATGGGGAAAAAAAAATTGGCAGCACAAATTTCTTGCCCCTTTGCTCACCAATGCAATTTTCAATTTCCTTAAAAATATCTATATAATAAGCCCCCATGGTTGTCCTGTGTTCCTTTGGGAAAATCTCTCAAGATTGCCCATTTGGAATCCCAAAACATAACTTTCTGAACTGACCGCTCTGCCTTGAATTTCCCTGGCTCTGAAGCCACAACCTGATTAGACCTTTTTTTAAAGGCACCCAACAAGACTCAGGCAAATGTTCCCTGAGAAGGCTTATCTGCAGTCATCCCTCAGAACAGATGTTTCTGAACAGGTTTTGTTTGGAATAAACCTCGTGCATCTGTGAACTGGAACCCCCATAAATTGACCCTCATATTGCTTGATGAAATAGAAGGGCAGAGAAAAAGGGGGCGCTTCTCCAGGAGATGGACCAACACAGAGCCGGCAACAATGCACGCAAGCACAACACACCGCAGGACCCGGCTGCATTTGTCCTCTTGTCCGTCGGGTCGCTGTGAGTTGGCGCCAACTTGATGGAACCTGACAACAGCGACAACATACGGGGTATTGGCCGTATGAGTTTAGTTTTAGATTATCTTATCCTGGCCATTCTCACTCAGTAGTATACTGAAGTGCCTTGATTTCTGCTTTTGTTTCTTGTTTCTATTTTAAGTCAAGAAAAAAGGTTTTTATAAATCCTCAATTCTATTTTTCTGTTTCAAAATGGTCTGGCTGCGCTAGGTAGTTTGCATTTTCATATATTTTTAGCATCAACTTATCAGTTTCCAAATAAAAACCTGTCCAAATTTGTCTTAGGATTGCATAGCCTATACAGTATAGGTATTTGGCCAGCATTACCATCGTCATAATGGCTCCTCTAGGCCCATGAGATGGTACATCTCCCCATGTATGTGTGTCTTTCCCATTTTCCTCCAGCAATATTTATATCGTGCCACTAGATGCTGTACATAGTATTCAATTTCTTCCTCAGCATAGTGTATTCTGGCTACTAATATAAGGAGTATTCTTTCATTTTATTTTTGAATTACTTTTGCCATTACTCTTTTAAAAACGATTTCTTTTTATTTGTTCACTTAATTTCCTATAATCTTACAAATTTGGCTTATTAGTCAGGTTCAATAGGCAATATAAAGAAACTGGAAAAGAATTGGAAAGTTTGGAAAATAATACTATTTTTAAAATTATCTTAAAATCTCTCTTGCTGAGAAAAATCTGAGTCATCTGTCAACTGCAATACAGAATAAATTGCAATTTGAGCTATCTAAATTTACTTTGGATACATTTTCTTTGAAAGACAATACTGAAGGATAACATTTCTCTAATGGAGTAGGATTTATAGGATGCAGGGTTTGAAGGAATTTCAGATTATCTTCCGGCCAATTCATTATATTTTCTTGCAAAATATTTTTACTACCTAAGATTACAAGACCAGGAAACTATTTCTCACTCAGCCCACTTCATCTTTAAATGGCTCTCTAAGAAAGTAAATGGCTCTCTTGAAAAGAAAAATTCATTGCTTTCTATAATTTTTAAAATCATTTTAAAAATAACTTGTGTTTGAAAGAAAACTTTTTATTGTGAAGCAGGGTGAGTTTGCACAGCACATCATGTTTTAATTCAGCAACTCATCACAACGCCCGAGTTGTGTCCCGTACTAAGCACTTTTTCACCCATCTCCTTCATTGTCTTGAACCCCAACTACTGCCACGGCCTGCGCCTCTCAAGGGGCGTTTCCATTGCTCTACTTCCCTGAGGACTTTTTGGGGTCCTTGAAGGATCTAATATAAGCAAGAGTTGTTTGTTTGTCCTTCTTTCTTTTTTCTTAAGCTAATTTAAAAAATAATTTCTAAATAATTATGGATAATAACTAAGTGTTCAAATGTATTGGCATTTCCCGCTCATGATTTCTTGACTCGATATTTTAATTTGTTCTTTTACTTGTCCTTCATCTGACTCTAGTTTTATTCACCTGCTCTATTGTTTCTTGCTTTTTTTTTTATTAATTTCTTTTCCTGCCTTTATTTCTGTGCTTCTACTTTTCTTTTTTTTATTTTTTATGTTAAAGCTTTTTATTTTCTCTTCAAATACACTATACACATTTTAGATAGCAATTCAGTGGGTTTTTTTATTTTTATAAGCTGCTCATTTATAATTTCTTAAGATTAGTTTGTATGTGCACAGTAATGAGTATGGGAAAGTATCACTTTCTCTCTGCAGGTTATATTCTTCACCAAAACCAGAGCAGGCTGCCAGCAAGATACCCACTGTCGAAAGAACCGAGGCTTGTTCAGTGTCCAGGGCCCTGGGTCGGTCGGAAAGGCTCAGCAGCAGCTCCTCCAGGATCGGAACCCGGAGGCCTGGTACAGCTTGGTCTACTTCTCATCCTACTTGTTTCTCTAATTACTTTTTGGCTTTACACACGGCATATCTTTTCTTAGCTTTTATAATAAAAGGAGAGAATTAGAAAAATAATCTCTAAGGTTCCTTTCAGCAATGAAAAGTCTAAGAGAATAGCAGGTCTCTGTCGCCTTTTCCCTCAGGAAGAGATTCTTGAATTCTTTAATTCCGGTACAAATACTGGCAGATGAAATGTCATTCTCTCCATTTGGTTTACAGTCGGTCACAATGTCAATGACCTTATCCAAGGCCACTTTCATTCGGTTGAACACGCCTTCTTTGTTTTTATGGGCAGATTCACAGGTAGGATGCCTGAGGCATGTCTTGGACGCTGTGAGAAGCATCATTGTACATTTTTCGAGAACTGCCCTTGCTGCTGCCATTTTTGCCTTTTTCTTTTCATCTTTCAAATCATTTTGTCTATCTCCAGTTAGGTGAGCAAACTCGACCATTTCATTTCCAAATTGACTGAATATTTGGACAAACTCTTGAAAACTGTTCACTTTCTCTAGCCTTTCCATAGTGGCGAGCACCTTATTTCTTGACGCTATTATCTGCTTAATAACTACACGGTCTGCCAGCAACAGTACTTTTGTCACTGAAGAGAGGAGCAATCGTGCGGCCTTTATGACTCCCGTCTTGTCGGTAAAAACTGTGATCTGGCCATCAGGTTCTGGATGATTCAAGCTGGTTACATCTGTAAGAGCTGCGATTGTCTCACCTGCTTGCTTAGCTTCGATGCAGGCAATACTTATTTCTTCTTTCAGATCCCAGTTTTCATTGGCAATAGCTTCCCCTACTTTAACAAATCTTCCAACTGCCAAGTTGACGGCTTGCCCCACACGCTGAATTGCTTGCAGGGTTTTTTCAGATTTTTTGGTATTATCTTTATGATTAATTAGTGTGGTGATCTGAGAAACCAGCGGGAGCAGGGTTTGCTCCACCGAGCGAGTTTTGATGTCCAGTCCTGAGTCGAAGGCGAAGCCCAACGGGCCAGAGCCAAGGAACGTTCCGGCGCCTCCAACGCCGGCAGGACCGGGAGAGGACGCCATGGCTTTCCACCAGCGGCCCAACACAGCCTGCGCGCCGCTGCGGGCCCGCCGCCTACCCGCCAGCCAGCCCGAGGCGGCGGCAGGGCTCCCGCGCCGCCCCCGAAGCCCCGCCCCGCTTCTACTTTTCTGGAAAGTGTTTATTTACCTACCTCTTAGCTCATTTGCTTTATATCTTGTTTCTAAAATAAATTTATAAATATTATAAAGTATGGATATTGGAATCCCATATTTTTATATGCTATATTTTAATCATAATTCAATTCTAAGTATTCTATAACAGTCCGGTGGGAATTTTTAGAGTGAATTTTCAGGTAGATAGCCATAAAGGTTTTTTTTTTAATGATTCTATCATTCATTTCTAATTTAACTAAATTATGATGGGAGAACATGATCTATGTGTCTTTAATATTTGCTGAGATTTGAGTCCCTTTCACTGGCTTCCCTCCATGTTAACTTCTTGCATAACCACAGAGCTCTTTATTTTTATCTTTCTTGTTTTTCTTGCAAGCTGAATACAGCAGGATTTTGTTTCTTTATCCTATTTGTCACTTTCTGCCATTTTTGAAAGGTATTAAATATTAATCTATTTACCTTCCAAGTGGTTATTTATATAGCTAAAATTGTTTCAACTTTATTATTTTCTTCCTTATTATTTTTCTTTTTTCTACTGACTACTCTTTTTATTTTATTTTAAATATTTTCTTTCCCCCCTTTTCATTTTCACATTATTTAAAATCATAATTTTTCTATATTCATTATTGCTTTCACCAAAATAGTTTATCTCTTTTTATATTACAATTAGTTTGTGTACCTCAGAACTTTATAGACTCAATTTATCTTCCTGCTGAAGCATATTCTTTCTTTTCTTTTCAGGAGGTATAGATATGAAACTCTTAGTCTTTGTATGTCCCTCATTCTCTTGAGTATGAAAGTCTAGGCTAATAATAATTTTCCTTAAGGACATTTAAAGTCTCATTTTATTGTCTCTGTGCATCTATCTTGGCAAATGAAATTCTTCAGTCATTATTATGTAGTACTATGTCTTTCTCGCTGGCAATGTTTTCCTAGAAAGGTTTATTATAGCATATATTATCTGGGGTTATTTTTATTCCTCTTCCCGGTACTTGGAGCATCCTTTTCATTGAAAAGCTTATGCTTGGCTGCCGCGGCTCGCGCCTTCCTCTTCCTCGTCGTCCTTCTCCACCGGGCGCGATTCAGTCACCCCGCCGCCTCTTCCTCCCCCCCCAGCCCCCCAATAAACATAAACCCGAAAAAAAAAAGAAAAAAAAAGAAAAGCTTATGCTTGATTTCAGTTCAGGAAAACTTCAGCTACTTTTCTCTCTAACTGTTGCCTCTCCACCATTCCCTGTATTTTTTTTTTCTGGATCTCCTATTAGGGATGTAAGGAGTCCTTTCAATTTAACCACAATTTCTAACCAATATTAAGGACAGTCTTTCAATTTAATAATTTCATCTTTCATGATATTCAGTTTATCCCATTTCTGAAGATATATTTATGAGTACATTTTTATTTAAGTTTTCTCTAATTCATTATTAATTATATATGCCTATTCTTAATTCATTTATACCTATTTTGCTTTATCTTCTTTTTCTCTCTTTCACTTTTTGAGGAGAAACTGTTTTCCTTGATGTGTTAGACAGGGTTCTCTAGAGAGATAAAACCAAATTACTGATAATTTAATATATTTATTTATAAAGATAATTAGATATATAGCAAGAAACTGTTAAATTATATACAGATAAATATATAATACAAGAAATAAACAGTTAAATTATAAAGCACCACAAATGGCTCAATGCAACTCACTCCCTTGAGAGAGAGTTGTGAGAGACTAGCAGTCCTTCAAGTCTAGTCTGCTGCCAGATCTTCCTCTATTTATAGAGAGAGCTAGGCTATCTCAGCATAGCAGCCAATCACAAGGCAGGTCACCAACTGCCAGCCAGGTCACCAACTGCCAGTCCCCAGCTCCAGAGATGTCTTAAAGGAACTTCAACTTACAGCGACACAGTCCACAGGCTAGGCATCCCACAGGTAGTGTAGCCTTTAAATTGAGCCACAGAACAAGCAAGGCAGCTGCACACTGGTCCAGTGATCAAAGAGCGAGAGACAAGAAAGGCGAGGCTCACCAAGCCATTTATCTCTCTGCCCTTCAGTTAATCCCACTTGTGTTTATCGGCCAGGCTGGCACAATAAATTATCTCACTTGATTTTCTTTATTGGCCTCTAAAATGATTCATTATAACCCTTCTTTTGAGATGTCCTACTCTCTTTATTTGATCTGAGCTACATTTGTCTTATGATGATTTGGCAAGTTGCCGCTCCTGGCAGTGGATTGCTTCATGAACTCCTGATATTTGGTTTGCAGATTCTTTTTGGAGATCAGTTTTGTGGCTTTATTATCTCCTCACTCTCAGTGGCTTGGACATAACTTGCACCTGCTGTCTGGATCTTCAGTGAAGATGTCACACCTGGAGGTGCTCCTGGGCATATCACTGTTCCACTCGCGGAGCCACTGGGATACCTCTTCGTTCCTGGTCATGAGTGTGCGTCCCACCCTGCTCTTTCTGTCCTCGGTGTCACATCATTGGAGACCAACCTGCCAGCAGCCGTCAGTAGCAGACATTCTGAATTGTATTTCAGGAGCAGTGGAACCGTACTAGCCTTTGATTTAAAAGTAGGCAAACGAGTCCTCTTCTTTTGGGAAGCAATTTATCCCGCCAAATCCAAACTATCTGCCTGATTCACATGTCACATGCCTGTGCCATCGGCTCATTCATCACTCTTCGCTCAATTCCTGGTTTTACTATACATCAAGGTTTGTTTTGGTTTGAGAACAGCTAAGAGATGGATGGACCCAGTGGCTGCACCAATGAGCTCAGGCTAGGAACTGTTGTAAGGGTGGTGCAGGATGGGCAGTGTTGCATTTTGTTGTGCACACGGTCAATATGGGTTGGGTGTGACTTGATGGCACCTAACAACACCAATATATATTTTTTATTTACCCCTTTAACTGTTTGTCTGCCAGCCCCATGTGTGTGAAGCACACTAACACCACAGGAGTGAATTTAGGGTCCACATGGCTGAGCATTCTATATTAATTCATGACCATAGGGCTTAAAGGAAAACTATAGTTTGTCTTTTTTTTAGTTTCAGTTTTATGGTTGAAATGTTTTCTTGTAGTTTGCACAGGTATTAATTAATATATATCTATGATGACTATGTTCTAGGATAAATATGAATTTATTACAACCCCATGCTCTATGCCAAATAGATGGTATTTTACATGACTCTTTTTTTAGAAATAACCTACTAAGTATATTATTTCTTTTGACTTTTCTCTTTAGAAAAACTGGGTCTTTTCCACCCTGAATTTGTTCTAGGTGCAAGTATTTCTTGTTTGTTCCATGACAAAATTTTCTTCCCTGACTTTTAAAATATTGATGATGATCTTTTATTTCTTACTCATTACCTGTATTTTTATCTTTATGTTGTTATTATTTTATCCTTACCACTTTTTTTGTTTTTTATTGTTTCTGTTGGGTTTCACAGTTATGAAGCACAGAGGGAGTAGATGCATGGAGATAATAACTGATCCAAGGGTTTATAGGGGATGTCTTTGTGGGGAGGGGGAGGTAAGGAGAGGGAGGGAATTTGAGGAGCAAACATTATATTCGGGAGGAGGAAGGGAGCACTAGAAGGGATTGTGATTTCATAATGCATTTAAAAGCGATTTAACCATGGGGGTGAGGGGGTGGGGAGAAGAAAATGTTGTAAAATTGATTGTAGTAATGATTGTACAATTGTTGATGCTATGACTGAACTACTGAATTGTATGATATGTGAATTATGTGCCAATGAAACGGTCTAGAAAATAAGACTCAGTCTTTTACCAAGGTTGTGCCTAGACTCTTCATCTTTTTGCTTTCTCAAGAATGGGAGGAACCGGGGAAAGATAAAACTTCAAATGGAGAATAAATTCACCAACCTAGTGATGACAGGTGCACCCCCAAAATGGAAGATCCGAAGTCAAAGATGGATTTTCCCTACCTAGATCATCATATTCTCGAGGGATTCTAGGAGAGGGAAAGGCCTTTCATCTCTCCTACAGTTCACATAGGTGAACACAAGGTTCTGTCACAGGAGCATTTTTTTCTAAAAACATATTTTTAGTCTTATGCTGTTTTTAAAGAACTCTGGGCATGATGCCTTGACATGCTCTTCCAAAAAATTCATGCTAAAATGGCATCTTTTCTTGAAGTATGGATTTCTTCTTCTTTCTCTAACATTATTTAACTTTGCTGCCTTTATCTCCTGCACTCTTTCCTGTGCTTTATTCCATAATCTTATGCATTTTTATGTTATATTTAATGAAATAGATATATATTGAAAGTAGCACAAGAGAAAATTGCTTAGTAATGTGAAAAACACAGCCTTACATTTGAGGACTTTTCAGATTGAGGCTCCTCATAATGATTTGTAACTTCTTAGCATGTCAACAATGGCATTGGTGTATGGGTTTAATCTAACAACACTGCACAAGTTTCTAGGCAAATAACAGGAGATCGGAAAATGTTGAATAACATCATTGCATAGCTGTTGCTCCCAACTTTCAAAGGCTATTATCACCTTAAATTATTTCATGTTCTCCTATATATTAAAGTATATATTAAAGAGTATATATTAAAGAGTCCAGGTGGCAAAGTGGTTTCCAATTTGGACTGATAACCACAAGATCAGTAGTTTGAACCCACTAGTCGCTCTAATAAAGAAAGATGAAGTGTTCTGCTCCTACAAATATTTGCAGGCTCTGAAATTTCTGAAATATTTGCAGACTCATCATGATGAGTCTGGAATCAACTAAATATCAGTAGCTTTTATCTATATCTATGTCTATATATCCAAATATATATATACACACACACACAGACACATATGTGTGTGTGTGTGTGTGTGTGTGTGTGTGTAGTGAGAGAGCCTTGGCACTCAA